GCCTGTTCAGCTCACTCGCTCTCCAGCGGCCGACCTTGGAAGCCAGAGGCGTCCGCTGGGCTTCTGGCCCAAGCTTTGCCAAGACTGCCAGGCTCCCTGTGTCAAAGGGACCTTCTTGTCCCCTCCAAACGGTGCTATGCTGCGTCTATGCCCTCCTGGCTGCTGGCAGGACAGCCTGCTGGCAAACGCGTCGCCCAGGACGTGGTGGCCGAGAGGGAGAGCACAGCGAGATCCTCCCTAAATGCAGCGATTCCAGATTGGGTGCAGGCCAGCAAGGGGGGGGTGAGTGGGCTTTGATTTCTAGCCCCCCCAAACATGCCCACCCATACATGGCACACCCAGGGCAGTGAAGATTGGGACAAGCTGCCCGCTTCTCCTGATCCCCCCTGCCACCCGATCAATGACTCGTTCAGAGCAAGAATGTGGTTTGTGCACAGCAGAGATGCGATGACAGGTTTGGGTAGTTTCTCGGTCTGGGGGGACAGGCCCTTATTGCATAACCAGGCCCCTGAGCGTTGACACCCAAAAGCAGGTGGCTGGATTTGGAAGGTAGACTGCCTCTGTCTCGGGAGGCTCTCTTAAGCTCTCCTATCCAGTTGCCCTGGCTAGGCCTTGCTTCTCCAAAATGCTGACCCATGAAAGCTCGACACGGCAGTGAGGGTTTATCTTTGAATCTGGGTTCTCATTCCTTCGTTGCGCAGAGTTTCTCCAGCGCTGGGCACCGTCGTGCTGGAGCTGTCAATCAAATTAAATCAAATCTTTATGACGGTCATAGACCAGTCTAATGCTGGAGCTGTCAAAAATGCATAAGGAAAGACAGCATCGTAGGCTCGCTGCAAAGAAAATGAGGCTCCCGGCCACTCCACGTTGGAAGCTGGGGAGAAATCCAGGGCTGGTATATAAAGTGAATTTACGCACTTGATTAAATGTATTTCTCTGCTGCCACGATCAAAAGACTTCTGGTGGCTTTCCTAGGGGAAAAAAATGACCCAGCTGGTGGGGCTTTTCGACATGGAAATGGACTCGGCTGGGAACATCTTTCCTCTCAAGTTCAGACATGAGAAACCCGAAAATCAGGCAGATGATCTGAGCAAATATCTCTGAATTTTCACAGGAATCCTGGAGGCCTGAAAAGATTTTGCTGCTCGGGGTCTTTGAGCATCCAGATCTGAGCAAAAACAGCAGACCTCCAACCCCGGAGAGGTGGGTCTTGCAGAAAGGTGTGTCCTGAAGAAAAGGTCAGCGCAAACCATAGTTAGTTTTCCCCATGATCTGTGGAATGGGTGTACGCAGTGCTAAACCCAGTGCTAAACTTCTTCTGAGTTTGAGACCACCGCCTCGTTCTTGCCCAAAATGCTCTTCCGGTTTCCAATCCCTCTTTTCCTTTTATTGTTTTATTGATCGGTTTGATTTGCATTTTTTCCGGCCTCTTTGTTCCTTGCCCTTCGGCACCAACATTACGACTGAAATTAAAATAACTCATAGAACTGTTAAAAGCCACAAGAAGTCGTATCCTTATTGGATCCTTCAGTGGGCAACAAAATCAGTGTGAATCGTTAGTCAAACCAGCTAGCCAAGATCTTGAATGTCCCTGCAATTATTTTAAACAGCCTTTGTTCATTGTCCAAAATGGACATCAACGTTTGCAACGGGCGACTTTTCTCACCGAAAAGGAGTTTCGTATTGCCTGCTTGGTGCTTTTCTCAACAGGGAGAAGTTTGCAAACGAAAGCAAGATAAGGAAGGAAAGTAGAAACAAATAATGCATTATTAATAAGGCGGGATAAAAATTAAATAAATAAATAAACGATGGTTGTTGTTTCAATCTGGTGGGCATTCGCAGCGCGTAAATCAATCATTTTTCGGCCTTAAAAGGCCAGATTTTAAGGCGCTTCCATGGTAGAAACAAAGGGGGAGTTCATAATTTCATAAATGTAGGTTTCGCTAGCGAGGAGAATTTTGTGAAGTTCAAAACCTTCCCGGGTTTGCATTTAGACAGGGGCAGGGCTAAGGGCCAAGTAGGCAGAGTTTGCCCAAAGGGGTGCATTTAAGGGTGAACTCTTGTGATTTGTGTCATTTGCAAAGATTTAGGTGCATTTTGAGAAGGCGCTGGAAGGAGATAGGATGGCCACGGATCCACGGGAAAATGCAACAATGGGTTGCTTGTGAGTTCGCTCCCACCAACGTGGGTGACGTGGCTAATTTATTTATTGCGGGTAGGTTTACCCCTGTGTTTCCAGCAGGAATCAGAATTAAACGTCCCTTCGAATATAATAAAACGGAATCTTAAAAGCCGACATAATGCGACGGCAACAGGCCAGCTTAAGAGCCAAGCGAGGCGATGATGGCTTATTCTATAATCATGATTAGGAAGCTGAGTCCGCGGGTGCTATAGGAAGCCTGCAAACGTTTCTCCGTCAGATTTTGCTTCGGAGCTGAAAAGATCAGGGTTGGAGGCCTCTCGCTGGAGCGCGAGGCACGGGATTTGCACAAAGCCCGTGCTGCGAGCTGTCAAATTTTTAGTCCATCGTTGTGAATGGGTAAAGGAAACGCGTTCAATCGACTGATTTGATGGAGCCATCGTTTGCATTTTAAATGCACGCAGGGAAAATAACGCCTGCTTTTAAACAAATAGGAATTAAATCATCCCCGATTCATTTAATTTAGGAGGAACGTACCCTGTTCAAAATAATCCGAACGGAGCTAAAACGAGCCGTTTCTGAATCCCCTTTTAAAAAGGGTCATTTTGATTCACGTCCGTTTATGCAGATGAACGGTGCGGCGGCCTAGAGGTCTACCTCAACAGAAAATCCTCAGGGGTTAAAAAGAAGATTTTTTAGAATCACGTTGCCCGTTGAGTTTCAGGCAGCTTGACAAGATAGGCTGCTTTTAATGCAGCTTTTTAAAAACCGTTTCACCTACTTTTAATGGGGTTTTTTTTGCTGGTGGCTGGGGGCCTCGGGACTTTTGCGTGCTGCCTCGGTGGCTTTATCAGAGGCAGCACCAAGATATGTGAACTCAGCCACCCCAAAAAACGAATAAAATCTGCAATCGTGTATACGGAGCGAGATTAAACTTCAATAAACAGAAATCCAGCTTCGCCGCCGCTAAACGTTTGTCTCCGTATCTGCCAATGGAAGCGGTCTTCAAACCCTCTTTTTTAAATTTTCGGCCGGAGCAAAGGTTTCCCCAGCCCGCCTGCGAGACCGGCGGGGACTACAAAGCCCATCATCCCCACCGGCCTAGAAACGTTGGGATTGGCAAGCTGGCAAATCCGGAGGGCACCAGATTGGAAAAGTGGAGGAATTTTTTTTATGAATGTGTGACCCACCGAAGGGAGGCGTGTGGTTGTCCTCCCTCACCATGGCCAGAGAAGATGGGAGTTGTAGTCCGTCAGCATTCAGAGCGGTGTTAGTTGCCTTCAGTCCTTCCTTTAACGCCTAAAGGTGTTATTTTTCAAAGATGCAAAATAAATCCCTTTTTTCGGTCGTTCTAGACTTCTACTGCTATTGACAGAATCCCAATTCGATCAATTCTATAAATTCCCCAATCGCATTTTTCTGATTTTCGCCTGCCGCCTTCGCCTGCTCTGAAAAGACCTGAGAATCTTAGATTTTGTTTTCTATATCTTGGGATGATGGCAGCAACCTGGATGGTGGCTTTCTCCCCCCTCCTTTTAAAGAGGCTTACTAATTCTTCCTCTTGCTCCTTTTTCACTAAATGCACGCATTTAATTCCATATTTCAGCCCAACGACCTTGGTGTGACGCTGCTATGAACCCCACCGAGCATTTTACAAGCAAGAAATGTGCACCCAGATCTTCTCCCATCTTCTCCAGCTCTCTGGCTCTTGATTCCCTTCCTCCCATTTTGCAAAATCCCTTCTTTCTGTTTTCCTCCATTCCTCGCATCGAATCCCAGTATTTCAACGATATTGACGAAGTGTACAAGGATCGAATTTAAAGCGGCAAGATTTAACTCATTCAGAAATGAGCCATTTTCGAACCTGCCTCTCTCCAAATTCTTGCAAATTGCAACTCCAATCATTCACCTGTTGTGAACAGCACAAACAGGTTGCCTGAAAAATTCTAGTTTGGGGAGCTAGGCTACGTTCCTCTATGAACCGTGCAGTTTTATTTTATTTTTCTGTGCAAATATGTATAGTGTATTTTCAGAGGCGGCTGATACTCGTCTAATGCCCGCGTAACCTAGGGAATAAATTTGCAGGGAACATACTTCTAAATAGACCCTCATAGGATTAGCACTAATGTGTAGGTTTCATTTGGCAAATCTGGACTATGGACCCCCTGAACATTAATAAAAACGATGCTCTGTTTCTCTCCTGCCTGGCTAAATGATTTACAATGTGCCAGACTGATTTGGTGAAAATTCATGCGGTTGATCTCCCTAAGTTGGGTGTGCAAAAAGGCCTCCTTGCACTATCTGCCGTGCGCAGTTGCACTGGAAAAGGTTACTCTACGTTGCGCGTGAATGGTGTGATCGCCAGAAAGCAGATCTTGTGAAGAAGGAAGTCTCTTTCATCTGCTGTCGGTCTTATGGGAATCACTGGTGGAATTTTGTATTATGCGGGTCTCGATACAATTCCCGTGTTTGGACAGAGTTTTTTCCTGCTGCGCGGCGTTTAGGAATCCAGGTTAGTTGGGTTTCTCCTTGGTGAGCTCGTAAAGGGAAGAGGAATGTGGGTCTGATCCTTTTCGGGAGCTGTTCCTCTTGTCAATCTGGGTTATAATTTGATTGCACCTTGTATATTGCTCAGAATAAAACACTGGCATTTGATCTTAGAGTGAAGCTGAAATGAATGCTGAAAACTGAACCGGATGGAGACTAAGATGTAAAAAAAAAGACTTTTTCAAGTTGAACTAAGTGGTTTGGTTTGTGTTGTGGGTGGCCTTTGGGAGTAATCGTAGCTTGTTTGGCACCCTGTGACTAATTCAACCATGGCTTAGCATAATATGTAAACCCAGAGGGTGGGGGGAATGGATGGAGCTTTGTCTCATAACTGCAAGTCATCTTGTTTTATTTGGGGAGAACCAGAGAAGGAAGGTTGTCGAGACGTTTCATGGGCGATTGGGGCTTGAACGAGGTTTTCCTGCTCTTGATCGTCATCTCAGAGACTGACATCCCGTTGCCCTCCGGTCAAGAGGTGCCCATCTTGGCGATGCTGATCTCAAGAGCTCCCGAGGTTGCCCACTCGTCCCCTATAATCCTCATTTCTTCTTGGGAGAAGGGGGTGTGCTCCTCAGAAGGAGCTATGCCGACGAGCCACACCGAGGCTAGCTTAAATCTCAGGATTGATGCTGGTTTGTTGGTTTAAAGCGTTTTCGCAGGTATCTTGCACGAATCAGACAGCGGAGCCCCCCCCCACGCCCCCGGTCAAATACCAGCCGTGGGTTGTGATGGAAGGAAAATCTTGCTCCGGCAATTGGAAATGCTGTTTAATATAATAGTAGTCACGCTCATCCTCCTAGCGAATCTGACTATGATGGCTTCACTGCTTTGTAGCGAACACCTCGAAAAGGGGATCAGCAGCGGGAATCGCTGCCAGGCCGAAGGGCACGGGCTGGCACGAGGCTGGTGCAGTGATCCTGTTGGCAGCCGGCCCCCCCTTCATGCAAGCCGGGCCATGCGCAGCTAGAGCGCATCCTTGCGCCACCAGGAAGCAAAGGATCCCCTTTTGCCCACCTCCCCGGAGGAAGATGCTTTAGAGGGCAACAGAGGGGATCGGACCGGGGTGGCGACGGGGGGCTTCCTTCCCGGCAACCTTGAGGGTGCCAGCGTGGCGCCCCTGCCCCAGTGCCTCCCCCCCTTCCTCCTTTCCAGGCTGACCTTCCCGGCTCCTGGAGCGGCTGCCTTCCCCTTTAAGATTCTCCCGCACGTTGGGATGTGTGCAAAATCCTGCAGCGCCGGTTTTACACGGCTGCGGCAGTGTTGCAAGTATGCTGAGGTGAGCGGTTTGTTCTGGGCTTGGGCAATGTCATTTTTGCTGGGAAGCCAAAGATTGCAGCAAGTTTTGTGCCGGCCGAGGGGGCTCCGGCATCTCCCTTCTCCCCTAAGAGGTAAACGGCTTTTGCTTTTTCCTTTCTTTTGGGGGAGGGAGGGGTCGTCAATTCGGCTTTCAGCCTCTCTCCAGCCAGAGGAAGAAAAAGGAAAAAAAAAGAACATCTGATTCAAGCTCTTTTTGGGGGTCACGCTTAAATCAACCCCCATGCCTTCTGTCTCTTGATGGGCAGGATTTTCATCCCCCCCATGCATACACCCCCCTCCTGCACCCCAGCTTTATTTTCAGCTTGGAAGTTGCCTTTTCACGTTGCCCTTCCTTCCCAAGGGAGCAGCAGGGAGCCCCTTCGGGAGGGTGCCGAGTTCGAAAGCCGGGAGATCTGCGGGGAAGAGGGGGCAGAGCCCATCTGAAGCCGGGCCGAGCTAGTCCTCCGCAGAAGTTGCTGCGGCAGAACTCGGGGACTTCCTCGTGAGTAAATCTGCACGGGGAGAGAGGAGTTTGGGGAATTGTAGCAAGGATGGGAAAGGTTCCATCTCTTCCTTCCATCTATTTTTTCTTTAATTCCAGTTTCAAAACCAGGGAGAATCCGGCTGGCAGAAGGTCAGCGCTGGCTGTCCGGGCTCCTTAAATTCGACATTTCGATTTTAACCTTCTTTCTTTCCCTGCCTCTTGGCAAGGGGCGCCATGGCGTGTGACTTCTGCTCCGAAGCCAGAAAAGGAGAGTTTGAATACTGCAGGGAAAAATGAGCGTCAACGTAAGTTATAAGGAAAGGACTCCATCCGCTTTTGAAACATAGGGCTGGTTGTGAAAACTCATTCGATGATGATGCTTCTCCCTCCTCTGTTCCAGGATATGCACCCCACTTGCCTGTTTTCAGCCCTTTCCTTCCAACTCTGCTGAGTGGGAGCGATGGTGGCTAGGGTTAACCATGGTTAGCTTAGCTAAACCTGCTGGGTAAAGTTGCAAATATCGATGCTCTCAATTTCAGCTCGCTGCCTGGAGGGAATGGCTCTGCAGGCCGCTGTCTGCCGGGGCAACCTTCGTAGACGCTGTGTAGCTGTGAACAGGCCATTTTAACTTAGTTTAACGGGGTTTAACTCGGTTTCCCTTGTCTGTGCCTGGGCTCCAGCACCCGGGCTCTTTCTTACAATATAAATATCAGCAATAGCGTTATGAATGATACATAATTAGATGCATGTCTATAAAATGCTATGCCATCGTCATTTAACTCCAAGAGATCTAGCACCTCGACTAGTCGTTTTAATTGCATTTCGCCGAGAGAAAGGAAATTCCACCCTTTGGTTTTCGGGGCGGCTGGGGGGAAGCTCTAAGAGGATGTGGTATGGTTTGAAGCTAATTTCTGAAACCGAACAGAATTTAGGAGGATCAATACAGCGCCCAGCCACGGATGGGTGGATGGAACGGTCTCCGAATCGAATCCTGCCCGCCTGACTTTGGGGGCTCGTGACGTCACCGCTGCAGCTTGTCCCACGCTGCTGCCAAAGGAAGTTTTTCCAAATTATTCCAAGAACAAGGATGACTCGTCCCCCTGGATCAACCCAGAACAGACCAGAAGCACACGCTTATTTGTCTGTCCAACCGAGGATTCAGCCCGCACCCTCTCCTCTGGGCAGCGAGCCCCCTGGCTGGAGTTTGTCCTTCTCAGGTAGACTGCCACTAAACCCGGTGCTCGTACTTCGCCCTTATCAATGCATCTGGCTTTTTCCCCCAGCCTTCTCGAACAACGTCAGCTTTCCAAACTGTGTCCTGCCTAAAAAGTGAGCTTTGGGAAAAAAAACCCTACAACTGCTAGTAATCTATATCACAGGGGACCCAGCTGAAAAGGGATTCTGTCTCTGCATCTTTTTTAACAACTTTTATTGCATTTTCCCCTTAGCTGGCTCCCTTCCAGCCTAGGTATGGCTCGATGCACTGTCAGCGCCCACGCGGAGCGTTTCCAGACTCACCTGTCCCTCGCAACCGGTCCCCGCGCTTGGTCCTGTGCGGGCAGCTCCCTCGGGTGGCTTTGCACTATTTCAGACCCGCATTGCTCCATTTCCCAGGATGAGACTTTCACTCAGGCAACGTCTGGGTTTCTGCTAAATTTCCACCCGATCTGCTTCGCAGCCGATGCATGTCTGATTTTCGGAAAGGGTTTGCGAAGCGCAGGGGGCCTGCCCTTTTGGCCCAAAGCCGTCGCTCCCAAGCAGCTGGAATTCGATGCAACGCCCCTGCGAGGTAGACCGGTTGCCTTTCCCCTCTTGCCTGGCCTTAGTTTTTAGCCTAAGGATGCGAGTCGAAAGCGAAAACAGGAAGGGGTCTGCTGTCGTCCGTTACCAAGGACTTTTCACTTCTTTTTTCTTTTTTGCAGACGAAGAATGCTCTGTAGCCAAGCTGCATGGGTTGTGTTCCTCTGAAGCCTCGGCTGGACCTCTGAGCTCCTCCTGCCATCCTCAGCATGACTTGTTTGCTCGCCTGCAGTCTGGAGAGGGAAGTTAAAAAAAAAAAAAAAAAGATGATTTCACTCGGGCTAGTCTAGACTTGTTAAAAGATCCGGGCGAGATGAAAAGCCACCCGCAGCTTCATCACGACCCCTGTCTAACTCCAGGGCCCTGGATGGGTCCTCAGGATCCTCCTTTTCCTTGAAAGTAAGTACGCTTTACAAGTGGCAGTGTGCATTGGTGTGTGTGTGTGTGTGTGCGTGCAAGAGAGCCGAAAAGCAAGATGCAAAGGACGGGAAAGAGATCTGCTTTTGCAGAGGTGACAAACGCCTCTTGCCCGTCGGTGGAACAGGGACAGTGCGGTCATCTGCCAAGTCTCCGAAGAGGGAAGAGGATTCAGACATTCCCGGCGTGTGGACTTCCCTAACAGGGACCCCTCCAGACCGGCTGGATTCCGAATCCCATGATCCACAGACAAGATGGCTACAAATGCAGTCACCGGGCGTGGGGCCTGCAGACGAGTGGTGGCTGCCGACTAACCCGTCTGCTTTGGAGGAAGAAGGACGGATGTAACTCAGCAAGGCTTCCTTAAGTCGCAGCACGTGAGTTAGAAGCAGTCTCTTTTAAACCACGGTTTGCCTTTCCCCCCCATGTCGTTTTAATGGGTAAAAGCTGGAAAAGCATCTTGGTTAAGTCAGACTTATGCATCGTATCCCACGCCGGAGAGACAGAACGGATTTGGAGTTGGGAGAAAAGTAGTTCGTCATTTAATCCTGCCATCACTTTTGTGCCCTAAAGCGCTTCTGTGCCACCCCCACCCGCTGGCATCTCACAAGCGGGTCTATAGAAAAGCACCTTTAGGACAATCATTCGGCCGTTCATTAAAAGCTGGGGACCCCCAGTTGGTGAAACGAGAGTCCTCGACGGGAACATTTTCCTTGCCTCCTCCTCTGAAGATTTTCTCCTTTGAAAAACTAGGTTTTGCACAACCTTTCCGAAAAATGCCAAGCTAAACCGGGCATGCGTTGTCATGCATCCCCCCCTCCAGCTTTCTTCTGATTTTGGGTTCAAGGATCCCCCTGGAATCTAGTCCCTTTTGGCCTGCCCGGCTCTTCTAAGCGCTCTTAATGGGAAGCCGGCAAAAATGAACTCAGGGAGGCGACGGGCACACTCCGCCGAAGATGGGGTGGGTTGAGGAAGTCCGCGGCCGCAGTACGTACCAGAGCGAGCCCAGAACCTGCAAATAACCTGCTCCCCAGGCTTTTTTAGGAGAAGCAAGCCCAGAACAGCATCTCATGCAGAGATGCAGCAAGAAGACTCCTCGGGAGCGGTGGGTTGCCTTGCAAATCTCTCTCTTGGGCTGGTTTTCAGGCCTTTCGCTGGCCCGGTGCAAGGCTTGGGGAATGACTCCATTAGTCAGCAATTTCGTCCACGTTGCGTAAGCCTTGTGTGTTTTCATGGGTCACTGACAGCCCAGTTCTCTTTGCTGTTGGTTCCTGGCTGCCAGTGACTCACTCCGAAAGGTGTGCGTGTGTTTAGGGTGTGAACTGCCCTTTGCTCACTCCCATCTATTCCTCCGCCTCTACCTGTCCTGGGGAAATAATTCTGCAGAGACCGGAGGTTTACGAGAGGCCAGCTTGGGAATCCTCTGCAAAGTTTACTGTCAACTCCTAAACCCTCTTTTTTACAATTTCTAACTCTTCCTACCTCGCCGCAATATCAAAAGGCCTGCAAAGGGGTTTCCAGAATCAGAGCAACGTGGAAACGCACGTCGCGCTCATTGACGTCCAAAGACATCCAAACACCGGGGAGGATCGATTCAAAGGGACTAGCGACTTGAGGTTCCCTTTGGGTTCCCCCCACAGCCTGCTTTCGTGGTCCTGCCTGCCCTGGGGGCGCCTGGACCAGTAAGGTCAGCTCTGGGAAGCCGAGAGGCGACATTCAAGCTAAAGGACCTGCGTGGCCCCCCCTTGCCGCTTTCCAGCCCCGGAGGATCCAGACAGGAGTGGCTGGTTGGTCTCTCGGCTGGCCTGTGTAGCATGCGTGTGTGCGCGTGAGAGAAAGAGAGACGCTCACGTGTGTGACCACACTGGGTTAAAAGGCTACCTGGGAGAGGCCCCACCCCGAGGGAGGGAGGAGGAAGCTCCCGGGCCAGCGCTGGGGGAATCTGGGGCGTTTGTCCGTCACCTGAGCGGAGGGAGGAAGATGCCGTCTCCGGAACAGGTAGATGCAATTCTTTGCTCGTCCTCCCCGTCCCTTCTTTTGCCCTCTGTGTCTTTCTTACTTTGTTTCTCCCCTTCTCCTCTACTTTTTTTCTTCTCCTTTCTCTTTTTTCTCCTTCCTTCCTCTTTTCTCTCATCTCCCTTTCTCCTTCCTTCCTTCCTTCCCTCCCTCCCTCCTTCCCTCTCATTTCTCTCCTTCCTTCCTTCCTTCTCTCATCTCTCTCCTTCCTTCCTTCCTTCCTTCCTTCCTTCCTTCCTTCCTTCCTTCCTTCCTTCCTTCCTTCTCTCATCTCTCTCTCCTTCCTTCCTCCCTCCCTGGCCTCAACTCTAGAGTTCAGCTGGGATAACCAAGGTCACATTCTTGGTCTCTTCCAGTGCTGGGACATTGGCTGTCTGGGAAGGTGGTCGGTCTGTCTAATAATTCAGCTCGGACGCGTCTGTGGCTGGGTTAAAGAAGGCATTCCCAAGCTTTGCCGGGTGGCCGTGCTACACTCAGGTGCTTTCCTGCCACTTAAGTGTGTTTATTCAACTTCTTCAAACTTTGCCCAGCTTTGCCCAGCACAGAAAGCCTTTGCCAGTTCTCTGCGTTGCAAGTGAAGGTGTCAAAGGCCTGACTTTGTTCTTCTTATCTCCCTGTTTTTTGCCTTGTCCTGGCAGCTGAAACAGGACTCTGGCATTTGCCCCCTTAAACAATTGAAACGAGGAGGGCTTGAGTATTGGCTCATACTCTTTTGTCACCTTGAGGACTAGAAACCTGATGGGGGAGGTGTTTTTTTTGTTTTTGTTTTGCCAGCTGAGGACTAGAAACTTGGCCCATATCCACCACTGTGTGTTTGGGTATTATTTCCTTCAAAGAAAGCAAATTTCTCTTTTGGGTTCTCTTGAATTCTGTGTAGCAGATAAAATTAGTGTGATATACTCACTTTCTCCTATTTCAAAGAACTGTTTTTAAACATTCCTTACCATAACTTCCTTCCTTCCTCCCTCTTTCTCTCCTTCCTTCCTTCCTTCCTTCCTTCCTTCCTTCCTTCCTTCCTTCCTTCCTTCCTTCCTTCCTTCCTTCCTTCCTTCCTCTCTCTTTCCCTTTCCCTTTCCCCAAATGCATTTCCTTTTTCCTGCCATATCTGTAATTCCCCTTGCATGACTCAAGATAGTTTCTGATTATTCAGCCACGGCCCTGGTTTCGCACTTGGGAATCCCACGGGGCTTTTCTTCTGAGCTGGGTCTTCGCATCTGACTCATTTCAATCCAGGGCCTCCGAATCAAGTTCCTAGTCCTGTTTGTCTTACAGATTTGCTTTGGTGGCGGCGGCGCTCTCCTTGCAACCTTTTCCCTTCCGAACCAAGCCCGTTGCCTCGTTTCTGCCTCGTCCTCGCAGGGGCCGCCACGCCGAAGGAGAGGAAGGGGGTCAGAGCGGCGTCCTCGCCAGGGCGGCGCGTCTTCTCTGTGAGTGCTTCTTTGGCAGTGTCTTAGCTGGTTGTTGTGTGCGATGATTGAAGCAGCAATCAGCAAGCATACTGCTGCAGAAGTACTGCACGTTTGCAAGCCCGCCGGAAGCCGCGTCTTCTCCGAAAAAAGGAAGAGGGGAAATTGGGGTTGGGGGGGGCAGGAATGGGACACTGCAAAGGCCGCCCAGCGGGAATTCCAAAACTCTACTGAAAGCCCGATTTAAGGAAAAAGGAGCGGATTTGGGTTCCCTTTGCCTTTTGTTTCCACGAGTTTTTCTGAAACTTGGGGAGGGGGTGTTGAACTCACAGATGTCTGGTTTGGGGAAAACCACTTTGCTGAGCCCCTGGAAGTAAGGAGAATGCTGTGCGTTGTGCCCAGGCTTGGGGGGGGCGTATATTGATATTTTCCTCCCCCCTGGGCTCTTTTAAGAGCAGCCTGGCTGAAAGGAAGCTTTAACCTGCTTCGTCGGTGGGCCGGGCTGTTTGCTGAACGCACAGGAGCAGGCAGAAGGGAGAAAGCGGGCAACTTTAATCCCGTTTCCGAGCGAAGGGGTATCGTTCGTTCTTCTTTGTACCTTACCCCGAGCCGGGATGCTTGTGTGAATGCAGCCCGGGGCGGTTTATCCAGCCATCTTTAGCCCGGTTGCAGAAATCTGCAGGCTGACTTTTCGGCAGTGAAATGCTGGCTAAAACCTGTGCTTCTGTGAAACTCACGCCTCGGTTGAATAAAATGAAATAAATCCCAGTGTATGCCTGTTTTGGAAGGGCTCTCTCTCAATGCTACTAACCGGTTTTTAGTTTTGCACCAAGCCCCCTCTAACCCCCCCCCCCCGGCTGATCGAATCCACCGGATGCTTGTCTTCTAACCAGGTTTACGAAAGAGAGACTTGAGGCAGAATATTTCAAGGCCGGTTGTGGCGAGGGCTGTCTTTCTGCATTCCGCAGGACGGGACAGAAAAGCAGCCCGCTCTGGTGTGTTTGTTTTTGGAAGGGCCTGATCCACCCAGGCTTCTTCAGCCGCACCCTGTAAATCTGGCCTGGCCTTCCCAACAAAGGCCTCAACGAAGCCCTGCCTTTTCCTGCTGATCGGTCCCAGCCTGTGCATTTTGGAGCTAGACTGCCCCTTAGCACGGAGGTTCTACGTAGCTTCCCTATCAGAAAGCGATCCCGTGTGGCCTTGAGCAAGCAGCTGCGGTATTTCCTACGTTAATAAAAGTATAATTAAGGGAGGGGGCTCATGTCATGGCAAGGTTCCCATTCCTGTCCACTCGGATGTCCGTGTGTGTCTCAGCCAGGATGTTTCAGCTAATTTCACCTCGTCCAGTTGTCGTTAAGGGGAAAGGGAGGAGGACAGAGACGTAATAAAAGGTAGCGTCTCCTTTTTGCTGAGCGGGGCAAATATCGGCAAAGAGAGAAGCTGAAAGACACAGCACGAAAGGAAAAAAGGATGGGGAGGGAGGAGGAAAAAAGATATAGCGATGGTTCTTATGACAACCGATTGTGGAGGAATCGCCTGCTTTACTTCTCTGCCTTAACCTGATGAACCCAGCTGTGGTTTACTCAAGCCAATTTTCTGATTTCACACGACAGGCTGAAGTGTAAACTAACCATGATATGAAGGATTGTGGAGGGACTTAGCAAGCACCTCTGCCCCAGCTCTCATTGACGGCAAGGGTGGCCTACCTCGCAGGAGCGTTGTGAAGATCCCTGCAGCTAATTGCTGGGGAGGTGTCCTTCCGGTTTGCAGGTCCCAAAGCTGGTGGGGGGCAACATTTTTGAGCTGGTGGGTTGGCTGGCTGGTTGGTTTTAGTTTCCAGTTAGAGAAGTCCTGCTGTGAATACTGGCTACTTTCTCAGCAGCTGGAACATCTGCTGGTGGTGACATCTAGTGGTTAAAGTAAAACTGGCCCTCTGGATACATGGCTTCTGAGGCCCTTTATCCAAACTCTTTTACCTTCCTCATCTGTGACTGCCCGGGTGGGCGGCTTTTCCTAGGGGACTCATGCAGAGGCAGCCTCCGCCTTCCCGTTCAACCCGCTGCCTCTCACCCCCAAAGTCTGGCTACCGGATTGGCATCCACCAGCCTCCCCCGGCCCGTTCAGACCCGTCCGCGCTTTCGCAAAAGCGAGGCGCAGGCCCGAGCAGGGAGTCCCGCAGAGACGCGGCGGCCACCCTCGGCCGGGGAAATCGGCTCACTCGACGGCCCGGGCTACTTCAGCCGCGCCGCGCCCCCTCGG